AAATTCATTTCTAGACCTTTTCCCTTCTAGTTAAACGAGACTTGATAAAATTCAACCAAGTTCTTAGCTATATCACAAGTACGAACCTAATGCTCTTTTATGCTACACTTATGAGAAACATTTTTACTATTTTTTATGGGCTACTTTGGTAGATTCTTCCCCCCTAGAATACTTTGTTCATTAGTTTCATATTTTTGAAATTATGACCACCACGAGGCCATGTATAACTACGACCATGACCACGACCTCAACTGTGATTATGGCCACATCAACAACTACGACGTTGACCACGACTAGGCCCATCATAAGATGCCACATTCACTTCAGGGAATGGGATTGAACTAGCAGGTCATATTTAATGATTTTTCATCAAAAATTTATTATTTTGTTCAACAACAAGGAAACATGATATTAGATTTGAATCATTTTTAAAACCATGGTTTCAATATTATTGTTGTAGAGCAAATTTGAGGTATGAAAAATAGAGAATCTTTTCTTTTATATGTCTTCATTAGTAATATTTTTTTCACACAATTTTAACTAAGAAGTAATTCAAAATATTACGGAATTATACTAACTAATAAATTTAAAATCTTTTAAGTGTAAATGCATTTACTCATAGCGAGCTTTTGGGAGGATTATTAATTTGGGGTGCTCATAAGTTTCCTTCAAATTGTTCCAAAGTTCCAATGGATTTTTTACAGTTAAATATTTAGCTTTTAATCCTCCTTGGAGATAACGACAAAGAAATATCATAGCTTTAGCACAGTCCTGAATAGATGCTTCATTTCCTTCAACAATTATTTCTTCAAAATTATTTGTCACCAGTTGAATTTCAGCATCAAAGATCCATGGTAAGTAATTTGATCTTGATATATCAAGAACAACAAATTAAAGTTTTATGAGGTTTGACATTATAATTACAAGAATTCAATAAATATTAAAATATTATGAAAAACAAACTTAAATTAGGAGACAACAAAATTTAGTTGAAAATCTTACCTAAACTTAGATTGAGAAAATGATTGTGTTGATAATGTGTTATGAAAATAATACGAAAGTAGATAAAATAAGAATTAGAGAAATTGAACAAGCAACATCAACAAGAAAAACGAACTTGTTAACTTCTTATTTTATTTCACATAATGTGTAACAATATATACATTGTATAATACAACTTCTTATATTGTAACTTCTAAATTAATCCACTATATAGTGATATAAATAATTTTGATTGGAAAACTTGGAGGTGTAAATGTGCTAGTAAATCCTAACAAATCATTAGTCATCCATCGATGGGATAGGAGATAATGGCAAATAATTGATAGATGGGAGAAAATTGTTGGCTGTTTAAAAATGAATGTCCATAATGTATTTCAACCACTATTGCAGGGAATCAATATTTAGACCAAAAATTTGGTCCGTATAACCCAAAAATCGGTCTGGATATTTTTTCCAAATCGATATCAATCCGTATAGTTGAACCAAAAAAACCTAGTATGAAAAAATCAAATCTATAGACCGACAAAAAAATCGGTCCGTAAATTAAACTATTCACACCGAAACCGAACCGTATACTTTGATAAAAAAATTCATGGTGTGAGTATAAAATTGAAATTTACAGATTGTAAACGGTCCAAATATTGAGAATATAATAAATAATTTAATAATTACTGTAATATTCCAAAATTTTGGGGTATTTTAGCATTAAATTAGGGACTTATGTGTGAAATAAATATTATTTTGGGCTTAATCGAAAAATTTTTTAAAGTTGAGGGACTAAAAAGAAAGGAAATTAGGATAAGGATGGCTGAGTTTTTCTTTCGTTTCTATTTCTTCCTTATCCGCGTGCCTGCTCTGTTCTTCCCGATTCCCTCCCGACAAGCCCCCCCTAAGCCACCGACTGCCTCTTCCTTCGAAAACCGGTAAAGAGGCTTGAAATTTCTCCTTCTTTCTTGCTTAATCACAAGATTTGGTGCGTAGAATTCTCTCCCTCAACCCAGAAAAATCCCAGATCTGCGCTGTCTTCTTCCCTCTGTCCGTCGGCCTCTGCTTGTGTGGGTGTGAATTTTCGGTTTTTCGGGTAAGATCTAGCCATGAATCCCTCTCTTTAACCTTGATTTAGGTTGGGTTTACTTTAATTGCTTTATTCCCTTCCAATTTCTGGTAGAGCCGTGAGCCTCCCCCCCTGCAATCCCGTCAGCCCCATGCTCGCCTGGTGCGGGTTCTGCTGGTCCAAAAAAAGAAGGGAATTCTGGTATGTGCTAGTTTCTCCAAGGCTTAATTTACCCATTTAGTAGTTGAAATTATACATGTAGCTGCTGCCTTCTTGTCCGAATTTTCTGTCAAAACAGGGGAAGAATTGGCAGTGAATTAAATGTGTTTTAAGCTTGATTATGTAGAATTTAGCTTGAATTAGCTGCTGTGATGTTTTGTGTGAGAAATCCCGGGTGTGAGTGTGGTTTTGCCGAGCCATTTTCTCCATTTTTCTATCCCGGGAGTTGGTAGCTTAAGTGGGTTTTTGTTTAATTTAAGTGGAAATTAGCTTGAATTGGGTTGTGTGATTTTGGAGAAAAATCCCGTGAGATTAGCTATGTTTTGCCAATTTTGGAAGTTGAGGTTATTGTTCACGGCACTGTTCACGGGTACTGTTCACACACCGAGAGTCAACGATTAACGGGGATTTAAATGTTTAGTTTGTAATCTAAGAATAAATTTGGAGATGTTTGGTTATGTGGAGATGGATAAAAATAGCATCGTGATTAGGGGTAGTGCTAATGATGATTTTACTTTGAATTTGTGGTAGTGTGGTATTAATTGTGGAATATTGTGATTAGGTTTTGATCATTCTGTTATCGTAGCACTTGGGTTAGCCTTCTGTTCTGTGCGAGTAAGGTAAGTAAATTATGGTAAAGCCCTTCGATTTTAAAGCATGTTTTAAATTGTTTTTGAAATGGTGGCAAGGTTCAATTTGATTTTAAATTGATTTTATCAACATCTGAGTGTGATTAAACTCAAATGGAAATTGTGATGATTTTTATGAGAATTTCATTGTTTTTCTGGAATTGAGCATGATTGTAATGAAAATGAGAATTTCATTGTTTTTCTGGAATTGATCATGATTGGAATGAAAATGAGGATTTCATTGTTTTTCTGGAGTAGAGCATGCCTATTTGGAATTTATTGAACTGCTTTGATGAACTGAGAATTTTGTAAGTTTTGAGTTTTCTGTTAAATCCATGCTCACATGGAAATTTTTCGGTTTATTTCTGAAATTGGAGATTGATTGTGAATCTCGGATTTTTCTATAAATCCAGCATTGGTTTTGTCTCTGATATAGTCATGATTACTGACGCCCGCTAGTGGGAGCTGTAAACGCTAGCACATGTCGACATGTATTTCTGTAGAACCGGTTCATCCTGCCAATGGGATAATACATTGGTAATTATTGACGCCTGTTAGTGGGAGTTTGTAAACACTGGTACTACTGACGCCTGCCAATGGGCGAATACATTGGTAATTACTGACATGTGCCAGTGAGAGTTTGTAAACACTGGTACCATTACTAACACCTGCCAGTGGGAGTTTGTTAAACACTGATACTTCTGTAACCTTGCCAATGGGGTTAAACATTAGTAACTACTGTGCCTGCCAGTGGGAGGTTTATAAACGCTGGCCATGACTTATAGATAAGACTACTGAACTGAATTTTCTTCTGCATAAACGGTTTATCATGAAACATTTTGCTATTGAACTGAATTTGTTTCCGCATTAACAGTTCATCATTGAAAGTTTTGTTATGCTTACATGGTTTATCTGGCATGTTTAAAAGTGTTACCCAATGGCTATCCATATTTACTTACTGAGTTATCTCATAGTTTTCCCTTATCCACCATTTCAGGAAGCGAAACTGTGGACGGGGAAATCAAGGGGAGTGATGAGTTAGAAGGCTAGCCACTTGTAATTGATATAGATTTGAGATATAGATCATGATGTTGTAAACTAGAGTTTAATTGGAGATTTTATAAATTCATTTAGTGGATTGTTAGTTTATAAGAGATTTGATCTGGAAATTTTGAGTTTAAGTCATGTTGGACATAGAATTAATTTTGAAATATCCGATCTAAGTTATTGGATTGTTAGATGTGAAATGGATAAGTTTCGAGCCTTGTGCATTCGTGGGACCCGTTCACAAGTGCACGACGTCTGCCACGTCCTCGGGTTTGGGTTTTGGGGCGTGACAATTACATACCACAAATGATCTAAATAATCAGGGAAAATAGTTACAGAAAATATATTCAGACAAATTTCGGTTTGAATATATACATCCTTTTTTGTAACAGTGAAAAAATTGCGCACTTGAATGGCAACAAAAACTATATTCAGATCGATAACGGTCTGAATATATTGGATTCAGATATAAATTGTGAAATATCTGTTGCCATATTGTCATGACATCGAAAATATATCCAGACCGATAACGGTCCATATAAAAAGGACTCAAATGTAAATTTTGAAATATTTGATGAAATATTGTTGACATTAAAAATATATCCGGACCGATTACGATCCGTATAAAAAGGACTCAAATGTAAATTTTGAAATATTTGCTGTCATATTGTCGTGATATCGAAAGTATATCTGGACCGTTTTCAGTTCGTATAAAAAGGATTCAAATGTAAATTCTGAAATATTTGCTGCCATATTGTCGTGACATCGAAAGTATATCCGAACTGTTTTCGGTTCGCAATTAAAGTTAAAACAAATAAAAAAAAAATAAAAGAAGATTATTATTAAATGAAATAAAGTATATTTATTTTAATTGTTATTTACAAAATATTTCAAAATGCAAATTAAATTTTACTAATGAAATATTAAATATATCTATGAAATTTAAATATATGTATATACGGATAAATTAATTTTATAGTAATTACTTAATATAATAACTTTAAACACATATAATATTAATTACATTATATT